AAAGCTACTTGCAAAAATGTAATTTCTAGAATTTAGAAAATTATTGGATGTCAATTAAATCATTTGTTTAATGCACCCGTGTTGAATGTGTAGGGTTGATAGGTAACATAGGTTATAGTTGGTTGGTTGGTTTCTTGGTTGACTGGTTGCTTGGTTGCTTGCTTAGTTGCTTGGTCGCTTGCTTGGTTGCTTGGTTGCTTGGTTGGTTGCATGGTTGCTTGGTTGCTTGGTTACCTGGTTGATTGATCGATTATTAGGTAGGTAGGTTGGTATTGGCTGGTTATTAGGTAGGGTAGGGTAGGTTAGTTTTTAGGTTGGTTGGTTGGCTGTTCGTTTATTCGTTGACTCCTAATTCTTTACGTCCTTCCTTCTTTATCCCATTTCTCTTCTCTTTCCCTTCATCCTCTCATTTCTTCTTTCTTAACGTTATGACCTCAATTGGCTTTACATAAGAGATGCATGCAATCGATGACAAGCGAACCAGTTAACGAACGCTTCTTTACTGACGACTTGTGTTGCAGTCATGTCTCTGTCAGAAGTCTATGTATACCTTCTTTCTAAAAATATTAACAAGTTTCTATTTAAAAGTACTATCAGCTCTCTTTTYACGTATATGACCAAAATAGGTGACCCTTTGGAGAGTTTTAGCTGCTATTTACTTTGTTATCTTAAACGGTCTACTTAGCTCATCCTTATGTCGTCACAATCAACGATTCTTGGTAGTCGATCGCGTCACGTACTTGGACCGAGTGAGTGAGATATAGTCGGGCTATCGGAGTCATCTTTTAGAAAACTGTTAGTATACACTAACTAATTGATCTGCAAATACATCGACAATGTTTTCATTTCTCAATATTGCAATTAAATATATGTTTTTATCAATTTCTGTAGTGTTTTTAAGGGATGAAAAGATGTTTTTGAAACATAGTGATCAATTTGCCCAGCAGTATTTAAAGAAATGGTTACTAAATACAAGTGAATTAACAGAAGTTAGATGTTGAAATTTTTGAATGTTATCACGCACAGACTAATGCCAAGGTGCTATGATTACAAATATGTTTGCTTTTTGGTCATTTTTCRTTGACATTCTTATTGCTAGTGATCTTTTTTTCTAATTATAAATGTTGCAAAGGAAAAAAGAAGGAAAATGACAAAGATYGAGAAAGATATAACGAAAGAAGGCATTTAAAGGCAAGAGCCGACCAAAAAAACGCGCCGGATTATTCCTAACTTTCTGTCAGCACCAACTCCCACACACACGTGACCTGGTCCAGTGCACGGCTCAGCGGAAAGGCCTGGTTTACATATAAGTGCAAATAACGTAGATATGGACTGCTTACGTCATTAGCTAATACCAGTTTTGTATCTAGGATCATTTCCCCTAATTTCGACATTCTAGAAGACATTATCGTTCATCCATAGCTAATAACAAGGAAGTTCTAAGTGACAAATGTAAGGAGTGTGCGTTAGCGCTTGTGTATATATAGCAACTAAAATGGATCGCCCTGATAAACTTTAATTTACCGTGCAAAATAATCTACAAAGTCAAATTCTTTGTCGTGTTCCCGTAAGATAAACAGATAGATGACTAGCACTGAATGACGCAGATCCTGTAGTTTACCGAACACTTTATCTATGTTTAGCAATTCTAGAAACATCAGCCCAGCACGATCAAAAAACCTTCACCCCAACCTTATTGCGCGACGAACGTAGAGCGTTTTATGCATCATTTCAAAGGGTTAATATTGCTATTGACTTTTAATTTGGCTTGCAAAATGGTTTCTCATTATTAACCAAAGTAATTGCTTAATTATTGACTTTAATGTAATTAAACTCTGGAAATATTTCGGACCATTTGTTGCATAAAAGAGCCGATATATGGAGTATGTTCTGAATTAAGATTGCTTGGCGAAGAGAAGGCTGACGCCAGAGCGCCTTTTTATCTGTAGTTTTTATTCAATAAGCCGCTTGTTGAGCCGATTGACTTTATGCAACATGGTGTTATGAGTTAGTAAAGTAACTCCACACCTGGTTTTGTTTGTTTAAGGGTTCTGGACAGCCATGGTTTGTGTTTTGTTTTCTCTTTACCACATCTGTTTTTGTGTGTTTCTGGGAGTTCGGGACCGTGTTAATGACGACACTCAGCAAGCAAGAACCTTAATTGCTTACTCCATACTCACTTAACATCAATAAACTACATTTACAATACAAAMTACAGCCTTAAACTACCATAATAGTGCAACGATAAGTCATGTAAAGTAGCCTATAACATTTATCGCTATTTGGGACTGTAGACAACCAGGCGGTAATGACACGGTGTTACTTTGATCCTATGGGTCATAAAAGATTAGTTCTTTGATCCGCCGACTATAGCTACCAAGGACACGTAGGAGTTTATCAAACCCCTTAACTCGCTTCTGCGAAGTTATTTTCAGTCAGGTAAACAAGGAGAGAGTTGAGTGCGTCGCGCAATCTGTGACGTAAACCATCTTGTTAGTCGTGAATTAAGCGAGTTAAGATACATGCTAATATTGATTAATTCTACTGATATCTTCGTAATTGAATAGTAGCGAGATACGGCCCGGTGAGCTTTGAACACTAATCATCTAACTATAAAAAGCCTTTGTAGCTACCGCGAGTTCGATGCTGACCAATCGGGTGACTGATATTGCACGCTAAGTCCCTTGTCCGGAATAGTGTTAGTTAGTGTGATCTCGAGGGTTGACGGCATTTATAACTAGTGCACAGAACTGCGAGGGCAACGTGCAATCATCACTGGAAAAACAACTACGATTGACCACAAGGACATCAAATACCGTGCAAAAATGGTAAGCGAGTCAAAGTCATTCAGTTTTGTAAAAGACAAGTTGCGGGAAGTCAATTTTAATTCATTCTTTCTTTTCTCTTGTGCTTTAGTTGCAGCACACACTTGCTGTGATTGTGGTTTTAACAGTATTACAGTCATCAAGAGCAGACAAAATCACTGATCTTCAAATGCAGATCAAGATGCTGGCACAAGGACTGCAGAATTGTCAAAGAGGACTGAACTCTGATGTTTTTGATATGAAACTTCACTATCTTGACGTGAACACCACATGTAATGATGGAACCCGTGCGGGGTGAGTTGTAAATATACTTGATTGAAAAACAACTGAGCAACAGTTAAAAACTTTCTCATTTTGTTTCAGTATTGTTTTCTGTGAACGTAAAATGCGCACATGCCCTCGGGCTTAATTAGTTACATAAGGATTTCCTAAGTACTACCATTTACAAGATTGTCAAATACCGCACTGAACTATCTATTTTGAGATTGTAGGAATATATATTTCCTTTGATCCACGGATGTTTTTTTCAGTTAAAATGTATAGTCGGAGAATCTTTMCAGTTTTTGCGTAACTTGCAGCAGTTCCTACGACTTTTCTCTGTGTGAACTTGAAGGGGTRCCTTATCTTCTATTTGTGCTGTAATTGTTGAGTGTGGTTCTGAACTAAGCACTATGATTTGAGATTCAATAGTTTTGTGGTTACTGTAATTATAAGTACTATTGTTCAACAGACCGAAGTCCACTTTTAATGAATGACACACTTGTAAACTATTTATCCCGTTATCCGGCAAGAGTAGAGTAGTCTTCTCTTACTGCGAATGGGCGTGTAATTTTRCTGTGATTTTACTGTCCGCTTTCCTAGCTACATTTAACGATTGATGATAAATGTTTACAATGTGTTTGTTTTCTTTCACAGATACTATCTCAAGACGTCTTACGGTAGCAAGAGGTGGATCGTTTATCTTGAAGGTAAATACTTGTAATAGCACTTCAATGGCTTTCTGCACGMGAGTGGTTATTTTTGCGTATTGCATTTGAATGGTATATATATGTCTAGCACTCAAATGGCTTTTCGCCACAATCAAACAGTACGTTGGGCGATTTGTTTGTGTTCATTATTAATAACAACCTTATTTAATTGTTTTTAAGATACTAAAGGGTTTAGTTGAGGATTATCTGCGGCAAAAACATTTGATCTCTATAACAATCGTGTTTACATTGAGTGAAATTGTTTTTTTCAATGGTCCAAAACCTCGTGAAATTTCAATTTTTCCTAATGTAGGTTTGCATCGATAGTTGTGGAAATATTTCACGAATCAATTTCTATCTGCTTAAGTTATTTTATATTTTGCGTTGAAAAGTTTAGGGATTAAGTTACACCAACAACCACATAAAAAGGCAATAAAGTAGASTTTCATTAATTCTACCTTTCCATTCATTTATTCTTTTCTCATTCATTTATTTTTTTTCATTTGCTGTGTTAGTTATTTACTTATTTATTTGTTTATTTATCCATTYATTCGGTACGTAATCGATTATTCATAATCACGGATTTGTCTTTGTAACATGCTCAAATGTCATCATAATGATTTTACAAGCTGTGCTTGTAGTTCACCGATGTCTCTCAATGAAGTACTTACGAGTCGTCGCACGCGCCCTTCATTATCGGTTTAGTAGAGTGGTGCTAAAGGACTTATAACACGTTATTCGCAGCTTATTTTGAACTGTGAAACACCTTATGATATCCGGTGTTCAGACGTCGCTGAAATCACAAAGCAAATACACATCAACACGAAAAAAAAAACTTGTACCATAATAAAACAACATCAACCAAACATATTAAAAAATGATTTACGTCGAAGATCGAAAAAACAGATGTTGTGCGCCGTTGTTTCCTTGGCACCGTTGCGTGCATCTCACCGGTAAACCATGGTATCCGTCGTTTTAATGACGCTCGTTTTTGTTCTATTAAAAAAGTTATTATTTTTCCTTTGAGAGCTTATATTTTTACTGGCGAAATCTTATGAAACCACATACACTTCGACTGCACTTTTTGCACGTTTTCTTTGCCTTTTTAATGTTTCGCACTTATTATTATCATTATTTTAATAAATTTAATCCATTAGTAGAGAAAAAGTGTGTTTGTTGCTGCTAACTAAGATCGGCTTTTCATTATGAGTCACATGTTTTCGTACACGTGACTTTAGAAGTTGTAAAAACGCTGTTTGCTTTACAATGTAATCTCTCTGACAGTTTGTACTAAGGATTTTCCCTGTTTAGAAATTCAATTAATTCTTCCATACATTTAAGATGGCTCGTCAAAACGACCCTTCGTCACAACAAGACAGGGATAGCAGTTTAATTTGTCGTGTCCTAGGGCTATATACATAGTTCTATGGTATATAATAACAGAAACGTGCCACCAAGAATTTCAATCGCCGAGTAGGTTGCCAGGGTGGTCGATTGGTAAAACACTTTTCTATCACCGGTGCAGATGTGATGTTCGCACKGTACCCGTTCCAGGTCTTGCGATATTTCTACTATCTAACTGATGATGCGCCTATCTATCCTTTGTTGAAAACAAACTGAAAGTTGGTCTGTGCTAAAGCTAAAACATTCCAACTCCTTGTTAGATAATGTGTACCGGCAATATTACCGTCTAAGAAGACTCACCAAGCAAGACCATATATAGACATTGCGGTACATCTATTTTGGTGTAGATACTTGACATAACAGAATGTATTAATTCTCGGCATATTAGTTTTATTAGACCAACATTTACGTAATAATGGCCAAGAATTTTGAACACCTGAAAGCCAGGGAAACATTTCTGAACAAGCATGAACGAAGGGGAATTTTTCAGACACTAGTCCTTCGTTTATCCGCAACGAGACAGTTAGCTTTCTTCATGATCTAGTGGTACTTGTGAAGCAGAGTAGCGTCTAATACATACAGTTATGTTAGATAAGTAATACACTGATACGTTTTGTCAACGGTTTTTAGTATCTTTGCCACCGCGTTACGCTTGCATTGCCCCGCTCTGTAACGTTCATGATTTTTTTTGGTGATTTCCTGTTTGCGTGTGGGTTTAGTATATATTTATTGATATGTTGTGTGGTCAGTGAATGAAGGGTCACGTCTAAAAATATCGCGCTGTTGTGGGTAAATTCGACTAATTTTTGCGGTTACTTCTTTCGTAAGACGGAAAAAACTACGTTCTCATGTAGTGAGCAAGAAAAAAAACTTGCGCAAATTTTTCTATTGTATCTTATAAACGTGCTGTACTTTATCGATCATTTGGAATTGGCAGAAAACTGTAAAAAAATTCGAGTGCAAGAAGCATTAAGAAGCCCTCGACTTTGCTTCGTGCTTCTCTCGTGTCAATCGCTATGTGCTTCTGTAGAGCATGTCACTTATTCTTTGAATATCGTTTGTTTCTTAGGTGGATGGTTTTGTACCAATCGACAGTCGTGTAACAGAAGAGCAAATTCACGCATGCGCAATTTGATGACATCTCGTCATTGGAGGAATATTACCATAGGAACGGGGATGTTATCGTCTAGTCCAACGGAGAACCCTAATTGGTGGAACGCTAACCACGTGTATGTACTATTATGTTAATGATAGCAAAGGCACACTGCGCATGACTTGAGTTGTCTTTTATTTTTGGTCGCGCATGCGTATCTGAGAGGGAATATTGCTCTGGGAATTAGATTGTCACGGTATAGTAGAGAATTTCAATAAGGAACCTACACATCTTGTCATAATTTATTCCTTTGCACAGGACTGAAATTTCAGCAAAGTTTCAACCATGTTGTTCAAGTGTGACGCTAGTTTTGCGTAGTGTGCACCATTATGCTTTGGGGGCTGCGAGGGTCTGGAGGCGGCCATTTTCAGTTTACCGAAAGTCTATAAATTGTACTGTGCGTTTCAAATCTTTGACCATCTCACTTTTCTAAGCACTTTAAACGCTAATATAAGAGTTTTCAGCCATCTGAAATTCGTTTTATGGTGATATTTGGATACTAGAAGTATTTTGGTGTAAATCATAACAATAACAGAGGCGYGCAAAGCATAATGGTGCAAACTGGGCCTTTAAAATACAACACACACAAATAGCACAAAGTCGTGCTACAATACACGGTGCTCATGTTGTTGGTTTTTTATTTTTTTTCACTGCAGGTTGATTCCCTACTGTTCTAGTGACGCATGGACCGGAAATGCAAGTCGACACGAGACTGGGGAGAAGTTTTCGTTTCTTGGTTCACGCATCATTGAAAAAGTCATCGAGGATATTTTACCACAAGGTCTTTATCGCGCCAAACACTTGTTATTGGCTGGAAGTAGGTACGTCTTTTGTGAGGGCTCGCTCGTACTGYACATTTATGGACCACTGTTTATAAGACCCTTCTCTATAAGTTCCCTTGGAACATATTTGTATATAATGACAAAGCATCTGTTCATTCTAGTGCCGGTGCCATTGGGGTTCTCTTGAATGTTGACCGGGTAGCGGCTAAACTACGTAGTCTTGGGTTCAAAGTCAATGTCCGCGGTCTTGTAGACTCTGGCTGGTATCTTGATAACATAACTAGAAAACCAGGCTGCACGCAAGGGTCGTGCCCAGCGAAGACAATCAAAGAAGGCATGAGGTCAGTATTACCCCACRGGGGGTGGGGATACCTTACTTGTTTACGGTTTTTGTTCCCTCACTGTCAAGACAAAGTTCTCGGTTTACCAGCATGCATTGCGTTTTGTCAGTCCCAGTCCTACCCAGTGATTTATTATCGATGTTTTTCTTAGGTACTGGAAAGGAGTGGTCCCTGACGCATGCGCAGCTAAATACCCTTTACAAGAATGGAAATGCTACTTTGGAAACATTGTCTATCCCACATTGAATTGTAAGTTTGAAAAACATGGATGAAAGTTATCAATAGTATAGTCGTCCAGCTKCAATCATTGTCACGATACGCTTCCGAGARTGGACYGATAGTTTCCGAGAGTGRAACGATTGTTTCCGAGAGTGTCGTCGTGATATTCCGATAAGGCCACGACGGCGCGTTTAAACGTCACATAATTTTTCTAGAATGGACGATTGCTGTCGAAAATGCCACGATTAATGTAGAGAGTTTCAAGACACTGTTATCAAGAAAGTGACAATCCGGTTTTCCGCTTTTTYCCCGAAAATTAAACCATAGAGTACTTCAGTGCTATGTTTCTAAAACTGTCACGCGCGTTTACACAGTATCTCTGATTGTTTCACGATAGCAATTGCTTACATATGTTTTTCATGTTTTTGCAGCTTCCACTTTTATTTTCCAATGGCTGTACGACGAGACGCAGCTTGCTTTAGACGGGTCAGGTTTACCAAAATCATTGAAAGGAGTCACACAAGAACAAGTTCAATTTATAGTGATGTTAGGCATACAGCTTAAACATTCTCTAAGACAGAACAATGTGCAGTAAGTGTGCCAAAGATTTGATATTTTTCTATAAACGTCTATTCTAACTAAGTGTCTCTCCCTGCTTTGCGCCCATGATTTCTTCTGCTCAGCTCTTTCTGCTTCAGTTACGTTATCATCGTGTATTTTTCTCTCTTTTTTTCAATGAATTTTGATACCTTGCTGTCTGATCTCTTTCTTGCTATTAATTTTCACAAAAATTTTTGTTTTTTTTAGCTCCGTGTTCGCCCCTGCGTGCCTCTATCATACCGTCTTAACCGATAGCAACTGGCTWAAGATAAAAATCGATAAATACACCCTCGACGATGCCTTAACGTGCTGGATGAACTCAGCCGGTCACAATCAAGGTTCTAAGCGACATAGGAACAGAATACGTCGTGGAAGGAAATGTAGAATGCACCTTGTAGATCGTTGTCACCATCCGCAATGTAATCCCACGTGTCCAAATCCACGGGATCCCTATACCGGACAACCCTACGGTTCTCTAACGCGACCCGGGCTGGTAATACCCGGTGTACCAATAAGTTTAAATAATCCTCCCTCTCAGGTAGATAGAGGATTTCAATAAACAACRATCCGTAACGAATTACGTATACGTAAGGTCMACGTAAGAGGCTACGACGTATGTACGTACTGAGGCGGAAACTATTCTATGACTACGCGTAATGAAGCGCCAAAAATGATAGAAGTTAAGTTTTCAAACAAAATTTAAATATCTATTTGTATAATAAGACTGCCTTGACAGGCTACTATGATGACATTAGTGTCCAGTCCTCTCGRTGCTATGTACCACAGGAATCCTGAAAATCTCTGTTTATATATTGAACTACTTGGATTTTACAGGTGACGAACTGGTTTTTCTGTTTTATTATCTCGTTWAAAAWAATKTTATTTCTCAGCGAATTCAGACGGGACAACTGGACTTAGTAAAATACGAGTCTGCTCTTTTCAACATTTGTAAAAATAAGAAAATATTTTTGTTATTATTACTTGTATAATATAGTTTAGGTTTTGTTTACAATGGGCAAAAAAATGCATGTTAAAGACAGAACATTTGAATGGTATAATTCTGGACTGAAAATTATTAATATTCTTAAATAACTATTAAAACAGAARACTTGTATTTATATCAGACTTTTTTGTACACTATTTTATTGGAATTATATTTGAGTGAATTAAAAAACTTGGGAAATAGATATTAAACGAATACATCTTAACATTCACTAATTTAGTTGTTTTCTTTTGTGTCTATAAATTCCCTTTTTTCAGAAATTTCGGTCGTTTACAATGTTGTTGGGCTCCCTGTGCATAAGACTTTCCCCTCCCCCMACAGTCAAAAAATGTCAAGGGTCAGTTTTTCGCGCGCAAGTTTGAACTGGTCGAAAGAAATATGGCGTCTTCAGACGAGGAGGAAGGAGTGCTTTCAACAAAGCTACATAAAGTAGCCTTTATCCACTCTGAAGACTACGTGAACATATGTGATCGACTACCTAAAGTTCGAGGAAGGGTATGCAKTGATTTGAGTCCGTTTWATTTCGTGAAACKTATATTTTTAGAGCTTTYTGTCTTTSACTTCGTGCCGCTCCAGTTGGCGCCAACGGAAGAAACAAAATTAAAATTTTACTTTTCAGGCTGGTCTTACCACTTCGTTGATAGAATCGTATGGACTTCTGAAAGACAGAAACCTCAGGTATGTGTTTTCTACTTTTATAAAGTGTTATTTGCGGTAAATATAGCAAAAGTGCAACGCAATTTCCAAACAGGACGGACCCAACAACAACGCACAAACCTCGCTAGGTCGTTACCGCGCTACTGTAGTAAGCTTAACTGTATTTTTTGTTTTTTTTTTAACTATTTTAGGAAAGATACTCTAATACAAAAAGACTTCAAGGTTTATATTGCTCTCTTTTTAAAAGACTTAATAGCAAGATTTTTTGATTTTTGAAGAAAATCCGTTAATATTTCATATGAACTATTAACTCGGTGCTTGTATTTCAGCGGGTGGCAAAAAGAATTTCTGTCAGTAGAAAAATTATTTTTAGTAATTGGTCAGTTTGTTACAGCTGATATTGATTTTACATTTGAAGATTTAAAGTTTTTTTAATGAAAACCTCTGCTGTGCGGTCGCTATAAATTAAAAGGTCCCAATATGACGAGGTGGTCGTTCTAACSAGGTGCCAATGTGARAGTACTGGGATAATTTGAAATAAAACATTTTATAGGTTCAAGCAATATTATCATTATGTATTTTATGTTCAGAAGTTTCCATAACATAGAGGTGTTTGTAATATTATAGTCCATACAATTTCTAACTAATTTTGTTTTGTAATAGTATTATAAAACCATCAAGAGCAACAGACTATGATTTATTAGCCTTCCACTCACAAGAATACATTGATTGCCTAAAGAAATCTACTGAGATTGAAGATGATGAGGAAACAAGCCAGTTTGGCTTAGGTAATAATGTTGAATTATTCTCTTTTTGACCTTTTTTGGCTGATTTACACAGCTTGCAACTTGACACAYAAGACACACAATCATATCATGTTAAGACTCAACTGTGTACGGGCTATAATTAATTCCTCAAGCTTTTAAACCTGCCTCAAAATGACTAGTCTCTTTCAACAGCCGCGACTTCCTATGACGGTACATGTTGAGTTTATAATGATAATTTATTATGTGTTTTTGTATAGGTTATGACTGTCCGATGTTTGAAGACATCTATGACTGTGTGTCTGCCATTGCCGGTGGTACAATTGCAGCTGCTGAAGTAYTRAAAAATGGYCAGGCATCAGTAGCTATCAAYTGGCARGGGGGCTGGCATCATGCACAGAGGTAAATGCAAGTTTATATACTGTGTATGTAAAAATTATCTTGCATTGAGGTCCAATCAGAATGCTGTATGCCCATATCATTAGTACAGTCAACTCTTGCCTTACGGACAGTAAGATACTGAATCCATGGCGAAAAATACAAAGTAATGACTCAAAGTAACTCCTGCTAGTATGGTCTCTCGCTACTGCGGACACCAAGTTACGGTCGCGATGGTGTCCGTAATAGTGAGAGTTTACTGTTTATTATATATTTATGATTAATATAATTATGATATTTCTTGCCAGGGATGAAGCAGCTGGTTTTTGCTATGTCAATGACATTGTACTTGGTATTCTCAAACTAAGAGAGAAATATAACAGAGTTCTGTATGTAGACCTTGATTTACATCATGGAGATGGAGTAGAGGATGCATTCTCTTTTACATCCAAAGTCATGACAGTTTCCTTCCATAAGTACTGCTCTGGCTTCTTTCCAGGTAACTCAAGAACTGTGTAAATAGTGAATGRTTATTGCTATCAGGTCTCATAATGAGTGGATTAAAACATCTATTGTACTGTGTGTTTAAYTCCAGTAGACTCATTTATAAGGATAAGAAATATAACGGTTTCCATTACACACCTTCATCATGGTTGGTTAAATTATAAGTTGTGTGACTTTKTTCATGTCCAGGAAGTGGTTCTTGTCTTCATGTTGGGAGAGGAAAAGGTCGWTACTATTCTCTCAATGTAACCTACAATGATGGGATCACAGACAGGCCTTTTGTAGAGGTCTTTAATAGGTATGCCTTGTGTTTTCTGATTTTTATTAGCAAAGTAAAGGATAACATAATGGTTTCTTCAAAATGAAAATCGATATGGATGAAACTTTATAATTGAGCATCACAAAAACGTTCTTGCATATGCTTGTGTCAATGCTTGTGCTTGCAATACTAGTGCCTTTAGCCAGTAGAGTAGCAACAATTAATGTTGTGTTTGTGTTGTTTTAGGGTAATGAGTAAAGTSAGGGCCAAGTACAAACCAGATGCCATTGTATGTCAGTGTGGTGTAGATACATTAGCTGGTGATCCTATGGCTTCATTTAACCTTACACAATTCGGTGTTGGTCATTGTGTCAAGAACCTTTTATCRTGGAACCTTCCTACAATGATTCTTGGAGGAGGTAGGGGATCATTAGATATCATTTAGGCAATAAATWAATCAAACAATCATAATAGATTATAGTGTGATCTGGACAAGATTATTGTGTTCTGGTTTTAGGTGGTTATAACCTGGTCAATACWGCKCGTTGTTGGACATACCTTACTGGACTTATCTTAGGCAAGGCATTACCCAACGATATACCAGAACATGAGGTAACAAGCAKATAAGAAATTATTAAACTCGGCTGCACTGTTATGGAATTATCACCAATATTATTTTTTTGGTTTTACAGAATTTTCTGTCTTATGGTCCAAGCTATCAGCTTGCTGTTATATCAGGACCTCAACCTGACCTGAACACCCGGGACGACCTACAAAACCAGCTCAAGAAAGCCTTAGGTTTGTATATTAAACTTCTGTTCACTGTTCTTCAGTTTCATTCAAACCTTSTCTTCCTTTTCATTCTTTCCCATTGATTCTCATGACCTCTACTATTACCTGACATATATGATGTCATTCCACTTTTAATTTTTAATAAATTACATGTAAACAATTGATTATGATTATTATTTATCTATTATTATTATTATTTTAACAGGTAACATCAAGAATATATTATAGCAATAAACATCAAAAATGTACATAAACCATCAAAACAGATAGAGAGAGAGAATGAAAGTTGCATGAAGTTGATCTATGAAACAAACATTACTAATTATTTCTTCATAATGTTCTTAAGGCAATAACAAATGTTTCACTGATTAACTGCATGCACTCCGGCAATTTTGTAAATATGTATCAATATTGTATATTTCTTAATTTTCTTCAATTAATTTTTGAAGTGTTTTCTGTTGTGTAAGTTGAGATTGAAATAATKTTATATTTAGATATTTGCTGTTATGATTGCCTTGACATATKGCAGGTTCTGTTTTTGWGTTGGATACCAGTTTACCGTTGAACGTCGGCATTTTTCAAAACCTTAATGTTTGTACAAATTTATTTTTATAATATCAAACATTTCTAGATATTCACATATCAATTTTTTTCTCAAAAAAAATGCAAGTCAAAGATTTATTAATATTTTATTTATATTTCTGAATTGTTTTTATACAAAGCATATTTTTCATAATTATTTTTATTTGTACAATATGTTACAAAGTTTGTAAAAATATTCTAACATTAAAAATGATGAAATCTGTTTTTCTCTTTGTAAAATAGCTTACAAAACTTGGACATGTGTTGATAGTTTTCCATGCCACAGGTATGAATAGTGTATGTAAAGATTACATCATTACATGATGCGTATTATTTTTCCCTGAACGCGTCCTCTTAAATACAATCCAGATAAAGTTGTGTGATGAGAATCACATGTCTTTATTGGAGTGGGCTGTACAGACCAGCTCACACACTCCCAGTTTAAATCTTTGAAAAGTATGTTGGGTCACATACGTAGTTTCAATTGTTTTTACTCTTTCATCAYTTTTATGGACAATGCAATAATAGGTGCTAAATGATCATAGTTCCCACCATTTTAGTAGTATTTTTTTGGTGGTTCATTGATTTAGTGCAGGTAATCTAATAACATGGTATTAGAGATCATTCAGTTTGTCTTGAATGACAACACCAAGTGACTGTCCACTATCACTCAAAAATGTGAGACAGGCAATGGTAAATGAAGTGATGATGCTAGTATAGGTGCTGGTTTCCAYGTGTCTAGTGACAACACTTCCTGGATTTCCTGCTCTTTTTGGATTTTTCTWAGTTTTGCTCTAAATGTTTGCCTGWAAAAAAAATTAAAATTGTAAAGCTGGTTAATATTCACACAATAATTCAGAATAATATCTTAAACATCAAGCTAAGATAGTATGAGTAATGTTAGTAATACAAAAAATAAGCAGATGTACTATGCTACTGGTATTGCAAATGTTCCAGGAAGAATGGATGGTCCCTTACCTTGGTCGTAGAGGTAGATCTTGTAGTGGTACAAATGTATCAGGAATACATCTTGTTAATCCACTATAAATTATCAATATTTTAGAATTATTACTGAGACATCCAGCAAGCATACTACAGCAGTTTTCATACTTGTATGGAAAAATTGTGATCATATAATGCATTATTATACTTACCCAAAAGAAACAGTAGGTCTAGTACTTCCATGTTTGTGGAATTCTCTGGAATATTCTGGAATCTGATAGCTTTTGTCTCCCATGGCAATGACTGGCAGACCGTTTCTTGGACAATAACCTAAAACATTGAATAAACAATTAATTTAGAACTAGAGTTTCAATTTCTTGGCCAGCATCAGATGTCAACCAAGAAAATGAATGCTCAGTGTGCAAGATTGAGGCTGTTTGCTTATTTTCACTTACCTCTCTTCTTAATACCCATSGCCTTGCTAAGAGTAAGCTCCATTGGTCGTCTATAAATGCATCTCTCGTCTTCATAACTATTGGACAATTCTTGCTCTTTGACAACACTTCTTTTATTTTCTTGAGATGAGAAAGGTTGAGTTCTTGGTGGTGGATCCACTGCTTTGACTGTCTCTGAAAGTGAAATGATTTCATTTTCATGGATGTGGGCAGATCCTGAAACTCCTGGTTCAAACAAGTAGGGCAAATGACAATGCACTTAGTACCAGACAGGGCAATTATCCATACATTCCAGAATTGGACCTTCTTTCATCCTTGAAGGTGCCAAATTGAGCATTGAACCGACTCGATTTTCTTGAGTGCTTTATATTTTATATTAAATTTGGCACATGCAACATAGTTGTTGTGAAACAAGAGTCCATTCGTTCTCCATCTCAGGAGATTGATGATGACAATAGGATGATGATGATGTATGATTGGTAATGATTGATGATGATAATAAATCTGATGACAAATCATAACTAATGACTTGATGTATCACTCACCAATAGTATCACTCAATCTTCTTGTTTGAGTTCTTACTGGTCTAAGTTGAGGTGTCAATCTAATGCTTGGCCAGTCTTGAACACTAGAGCCCCTGTGAGTAAGAAAAAAACATTGAATACACAGAAGATCTCGACGATACGTGTTTTTATAGTGCCCAAATTTCAAACTCTTTTCCATCTTCTTTGTTTCTGCACTAAAGAATACAAATAAAGCGCTATACTTTAAAATCCAAAAGTTAATATTCTTACATTTTGGTGTTGGGTAACGTGTTGGGGTCGGATAGTGCGTTTCTTGGATGCGGCCTCCAATCCGGCTCACCAATCGACCTACTTCCATACCCATCTGAATAATAAGGCTTTACGAAGTGTGTGGGCTTGTATTCTCTAGATAACTGAAGCTAGAAGTAGCAAAAAGTTGACATCAATTATTTACGTTTACACTGTAAATTGATGAATTCACGCCTCACCATTACAGAATTAGAGTCACGCCGACAAACAAATTTCCTGATAAACATTATAATCTTTTACTTCTAAAATACTTATTTATTTCTTACTTACCATTTCCCTGCGTGTTCTCTTGCCAAGCAATATATTGTCTTATTCTCTTTTAATTTGACTACACTACAATACTTTTTTCGCGTGCTTTCAGTGTAGTGGGTTATTATTCGTATAGTGTCGTTACCATAGGAACGGCTTCCAGTCATGAATAATGTGGGGATAATATTTACAGTGATGCTGTTATAAATGTCATTTATATCACTCTGAAATTATCTATTTTTGTAATATTATTAAATGTAATAGTGTAAAAAATTGTCCAGGAGTAAAACGCGTTGAAATCGTTGGATACTGGTTTCGTTGCGTGACAGTAAATGTCACACAGCATTCAAGTATGACTTGCTTTGAAAGCGTAAAAAAAAATTAAAAGCAATCCATTGCTAAAGAATCAATAAGCTTAATATATAATATATAATAAATTTGATACCAGCAAAATGAAATATTAGATGCAAATTAATTAATTGAGATTGTGTGAATTTTGATAGTGTTTCCGGTTTCCTTCSATTCGTCCGCGCTCTCCGGGRGAATGAGTTCTAATTACACAACCATCCAAAATGGTGGATAGCAAAATTTTGTTGTTACGATAAAAATGAAAAATTACAACTTCTCGGGTTAGTTTGAGCATTGTAGAAGCGYACAAGGKAATACTAACATTTATAARTATGCGCTCTAATAATAATGGAGCAATCGGTGGCAAAAGGAAGGCGAATTCGTTTGACAATGAAGACGAGCTTGGACCTTCGACTTCGAAACGAACCAAACGTCGATCTGGACCTACTGGTCTAAAAAGAGCCGGTCCTTACCTTCTTGGATCACGATTAGGAAACTCGCCTGTTCGTAGTATTGTACAATGTCTAGCGAAGAAGGAAGGAACCGACGATTTTTACTCAATCAAAATACTAACTCTGGGAGAAGTCGGCCATGAAACTCAAGACGACAAACAAGGAAAAATGCTTCTTCACACTGAATACTCGTTGTTATCACTACTTCACGATGAAGAAGGTGTCGTCCATCACCATGGGCTGTTCAAAGATGAATATTGTGAAGAMATTCCACAGGATTCTGAAGGTCAAAGTGATCGAGAAGGATCTAGTGGGTCAAGGGGACGTAGAATACGACATCGATTATGTTTAGTTCTGGATTGTCTTTGTGCTCACGACTTCGGTACTGAAACTTCGGACTTGATTAACTTACAGCATTATGTAATACGTGAAAAAAGACTAAGTGAGAGGGAAGCKTTRATTATTTTTCACGATATTGTACGAGTSGTGGAGTGTCTGCACAAGGTAAGCTTTCTTTATTTACAGCTGATCTSKSTCATSTCGGATATGYCTCGCTSTTAAAAACCACAAACTTATCAAATCTATGATCATTTTGATAGTGATTTTTACACAGATTTGAAGCTAACTTGATTCGATCATCATTACAGARTTACGTAATCAAGCTATGATCCAATGTTGCGTGAAGTATGCTTRCTTTAATGTTGTTCTTTACGTTTTCAGAAAAATATAGTACATCGAGATTTGAAACTTGGAAATATTGTATTGAATAGAAGGTAAATTGCTTGAAGACTGATATACTACCTATGGAATGGATGTAAAGAAATTAAGGATTGATAAATGGATGGATGATTAAATACATGTAGATAATTGGACAGATATTTGAAAAATGAATGAATGAAACAGATGGATGAATTGTTGAATAATGTAGATTGGATGGATGGATGAATAAATGAATGGATGAATGGTTGATTGAAGGAATAAATAGGAGAATGGATTTGAGGAATTTTGGATATAAAGTAGCAAAGTAAAAAATTAATGGTTGGATGGACRAGCAAATTCAAATTAACTTGAAACAGTTCGTAGCACAAATAAATTTTGTATTTTATAAACTTGTAAACATTTGACTGACTAAATGAACGAATAGTCTGGAACAAATCAAATTAAATAACATGGTAATAGAATAAATAATTGAGTTTTTTTTCTCATTCTTTCACAGAACGAAAAAGATAACWATTACAAACTTTTGTCTTGGAAAGCATTTAATCAGGGAAAATGATCTGTTAAAAGACCAAAGAGGAAGCCCAGCATACATCAGCCCAGATGTACTTAGTGGTARGTATTGATATACATTAATAATGATTAATACTTATCCAATATCATTATTATTATCAATGCACTGTAAAAGTGTTTTTTATAGCAATGAATTGTGCCATTGTATAGCTTTARACACTGGATATGTTGAATTCGAAAGTTTTGCTTGTTGCAGTCTTTGAAGTAGGTTTATCRCTRCTAATATTTTTTWAMTTTAACTAGGTGCACCATACTCAGGCAAGGCCAGTGATATGTGGGCATTAGGGGTGGTATTATACACCATGCTRTATGGACAATTCCCATTTTACGACAGTGTACCACATGAATTGTTCAGGAAGATTAAGAGTGCAGAGTTTATAATTCCAGGGTAAGTGAAAAGACATTCGAATTACTGTAGTTTTGTGAAAGATTATTTTAACAAGACATTAAGGGCTACCCACGTTGCTCRTCAAAAAACTTGAATTTAGATACAAATTGTACCTCATAAAAATCATTATTTGCTAGTTTATTTCTAAGTGTTACAGTCAGGATAATACTTCAATGTCTTTTTAATTTATACTACATCTTGTTTATCAACAGAGAAAGYCCTGTATCTGAGAACACCAAGGATTTGATTCGTTTACTTCTAACTTTGGACCCAAATAAGAGACTTACTGCAACTGAGGTCCTGGGGTTTCTACAGAACACCATGGCATCATGGTACGTGTTGCCCTATCTCCGTTGTAATAACAGAAAAYGCTTTAATATAAATATATATATGAAGTCTTCTGTCTATGAACTGCCAACATGTCTGCCCTCTGATAACCAGCAAAAATTAATGAAATTTCTGTTTCCCCAGGTACCATTTGGCYTGTAATGGCGAAGCGCCTCAAGTTGTACCTGACGTTGATAAACAAGTTGACAGTCAAGCAAAAGAGAAGGACCAACCACCATTATCGTCAGACTTCAGGTTCCACAAATTGARTGATGAATTCTTCAAACAAGAATCAATTTCAAGTATTTCACAAGAAGTAATGTGTCAGCCACCGATAAGAAGAGTCTCAGAAGATGCGCGACCACTGACTGCTGCTGAAATTCTTGCCCATCGACACTTGTTGTAACCTAAATTCATGAGATAAACTTCTCAGCCAAAAGCTTGAAGGGCATTCAAATGATAAAGACCACATAAAAAACAACAACATTTAACTACAAAAGAATTGCCAACAAGTAGGAGGAATGAATGTAAATCACAAATATTTAAAACTTAATCATCTCAGGCAAATGTCATTTTTTTTTCAGTCAGTACGTATAACGAAAAAACTTTTTTCTTTAGTAATTCAACATGGCAGGTAAGGCGGAAAGGACTTACAGGACGTCACATGTATGCACATGACGTCATTATTTTCTGATTTTGTATGTGGTGTTCGTCATTTCTGGGGGAAGGCCGCGGTAATTGTTTTTTTGACTTCCCATTATATCCGTCACAGTGACGTCATTAATTTCTGATTTTGTATGTGCCAGGACGTTATGACGTTTTCTGTCCAGTACAAATATTCTTTTGAAAACATTTATGAAAAATATTGAAACAATGCAAAATATATTGTAAATAAGTCAAAATCAATTTTTTATTATTTCTTGGAAAATTTGTGAGCATTACAATGGACCAAATCAATAAACGAAAATGTTATAAATATTTTTTTCAGATATTGCAACTTCTTTCTCGTTACTTTTACATAATACTATGGTCTTGTAACATACAGGTATATACTTCATGTACATTAGATGTAGTGACTTACGATAGCTTTGTTGTAAGTCACAATATTATACATTCTATGAAGATTGCAATAATTCAAATTAAATGATGTTTATAGCTGGAGTAATATTCCATATTTTATATTCAGCAAAAAAGCAATTTTTGTAAACATAGTGAGTGGCAAATCAAGATTGTCAACCCAAAGGGACAATGGGTGTCGAATATGGGCGCGATTTTGGATTAGAGAATGCTCTCTTTATTAAAGCCAGATAATTTGAACGACTAGATCTTCTTTCACAACCTCAGCCTTTCAAAGCTGATCGTTTTACGTTGTATTAAGGCTGATTTACACGGCACGATTGTCTCGTGCGATTTGTAGTATACGACTTGAATCGCGCAGTGTAAATGTCCCTACGACTTGTCTACAACAGTCGTACGCAACCTACGACTTGTAGTAGGATTTTGAACCACTGCTTAAAATCCTACGACTTGTAGTAGGAAAATCGTATACTACAAGTCGCGCGCRACAAATCGTACCGTGTAAATCAGCCTTAAGTGGCATAAAGTGATTTTTATACCAACAGATCTTCGTAACTGGTCGAGTTTTCCCACCATATAGATTATTAATTATTTTCAACGACTACTTTGTCTTATTTATATCTTTCGAAAAGTACAAAAATGTGATTATAAGATTTCTCAATCTCTACACGAATTATAGTTTCCTTTTAAGCAGGAAWTAGTTGGGCTTTTACTTTATCTTTGCGTACTGTGGTTGTACCTTATCTGCCGTAATTCTTTAAGCTACAATTCAATCTAATTTTAATGGGGTAATTTTTGGCATTAATACATACGGGTGCTAAGTCATCTTAGCCTCGGGACTGTACACGGGGGTCACATACTTAATTTCTAAATCATTAAATAACTTAATATCAGTCTAGTAAAGGTGAAAATACTTTTAAAAGGGAATTGAAAAAGTGTAGCTTATGAAAAAGATCAGCAGCGAGTAACTGATKTTCGTGACGTTCTAGTATCAAGTAATCTATGTTTTAATCTAATTATAATCTTTATATTTCATCTTTATACGATTATTACACAAGAGTRCTTATTGAAAATGGCTCATTTGTTCGACAAGGTAAATATTACGGTTGRAAACCAATAGCAAGCAAATAATAATGTTCTTGAGGTTATAGAGTCAGTAGGTGGTCCAGCAATGTTCGTAACACACTGAACTGATTGCAATCCTGAGCAGAACCGATATTCTTATCTTCAATTAGCCTAATCCTTGTGGTTGTCTAGAGCTTTTCACTGCTTAAAACACTAAAGGCTGACGTTACTACAAGGTCTTAAAAGAGAGCTTTGGTTTTATTGAAAGACTAGGACACTATTCGCGAGAACGAGAGAGAACAATAGTGGCAGGTGAGCATGTCAAAAACGAAAGAAATCCGAAATTGTTTTGATCGTAAGTAAAGATAATTCAATAATAAGCGTTAGAAACAAAAAAAAGGTTATAAAAGACTTAGGCTTTGTATAAGTGACATAAATCTGTCGTATAAAAGTAGAAAAAACAGACGAAGTACGAACTCATACATTCACAAAACGTGATACCATCTCCACAGGAACCCCGTTTGTTTAATTTTATATAAAAATTTAAACTTTACTTGATTCGTTCCTGCCGTGTTGATGTCTAAACCATGGACTTCAAGCCGCCGATTTTAGTTTTTTTTTCAGTATTTGYCCAACTAAAAACATCTCAATGACGAGGGATTAAAGCGTTGAGAGCTTTTACGCAACGTTCCAGAGATTGAACGGCGGTTCTTTTCAAGCGAKGAAAACAAATAGACCACACTTCACAACACGCTAGCGCAACGCAGTACATAGCAAATGGGTACGTAATGTTAGAGGAAGAGGCGGTTCAAATTATTWCCGAAAAAAAACATACATACCACACTTCGCAACAGGGTATATACTAGCGCAACGCTTTACGTAGTGTTTTGCTGGTACAAAAAGGGAWAGAGGCGGTCCTATTTTAAAAATAGCGAAGAAAATAAACCTACCACACTTCGCAACAGGATAAACGTTAATGAAACGTWTTGCGCAGCGAATACGTTGTAGTGTTGCCAAGGAGGGCTTTTCTTCCGCAGTGAATTTCGTTATCGTAGCTACAATGCCTCAACGTTACGCGTTACGCAGCAAATACGTAGAAAACATATCCAGAGTAACCCATTTGTTGTGTAGTTCACACTGAAACGCAAGACCCAAACCAGACATACGTTACGTAACAGGTACATCGTACGCAATAGGTCTTTCTAGAAATCGTCTGGTCATCTTGTTGCGAAATTTCCCGCGTACATCACCTGTGGATCGACACTATGGAAACTAGGGAAGGGTTACARCGTAACGCATGTGGAATCCCCAACGCCTACGTAACTTAGCTTGGTGTCCGTATTAGTCAGTGTAACTGTCATAGACATCTAATGCGGGAAAGAAAACGTGGCGTTGAAGTGTTACGTTTTTGTAACCATTCTTGCGGTGAAATCGTCAAGCTTTCAGCCTCTTTTCTCTCTTATCAATATTCTATASGTATACGTAGGGGATTCCGCAGGCGTTACGTTACTAACCTTACGTAATTTACTCATCAGTATTCTTAGCGCGTTTCTGTGATGTCCCACTGCGTGATTTACCTACGAACCATAGCGTACTTCTCATTGTATTCTCTAGTATTTTGACTTGTTTCGCATTGTCTTTCCAGATACCTGCTGATTCCAATCCAATCAGTTCAGATGAGTCAAGCTAATTCCATGCATACTTTACTAAAACATGCTCTCTGTTGATACCGTCAACGCGTTCTTCTCAAGGCAGCCATCTAAGGCCAGGTAAGGGACTTAATTTCTGCTATTCGCAGCATTGAACMTTTAATGTGTATATAATTGGATTTTGTGAAATGTTTTTCGCCGATCTTGGTTCTTTTTCTTTAAGACGCCGCAGTTTTTAGRAAAACGTGTTTTGACAGTGTATTTAGTATGATTCAGTTATATTTCGCTATCGCGAGTTTAGCATTGTCAGATTGAGCGAGTTGTTTTTTCTTGCGGMCATGTGATGTTATTGTAAAAATTGGTAATCCATATCTTGAAATCTTTTTGAGTATTCTTTATTATTGTCAAGGGCGGAAATTATATGAACTAAGAATTGACAATACAGTGGTAACTTACAGATATTAAAAAAAACTAAGAAGAAAGGTCTTAAAGTTATGAAAAAAAACTAACAATTTTCAAKAAGAAGTGAAATTGACATTCGGTTAATAAAGATGTCGAACGTTTGATCGCTTGTTTCGATTGATTTCTTTTTCTTACTTACTATCGAATCATCAATCATACTGTATTCTTTGAATTATTGATAACAAGAGCCTTTGTTTATATTTCAAACCGAAAAAAACTTCGTATACTAATAATATACATACTTACTATAAACTACAAGCAAAACTCATAGCGCGGTGACAAATCGAACAGTTTTGAACGCACTTGATTGGCTTTTTCTTCTAGAACGTAGCTAAATCGAAGCGCACTTGAGCAGCAAGCCTTGAAGCGCCCTTTGATCAATCAAACACCCATGGGCGGTGAATTTTTAATACATAACTGCACTCAAATGTATTTTTCAATAGGAGCGCTTCTGATAAGCGCCCGCAATCAATCGCACTTTTGATCTGAGGTTTTCAATGGATGTTTTTAAAGAGAAATATAAATTAATAACAATTAATTACACATAATTCCTTGTATTTCGAYGAGCTAAGATAACTTGACCGGTTTTTTGTTATAAATAGTTTATACGCTTAGACATCGAAGCGGAAAYAAAGTGCCCCAGTATTAATCTTCAACGTAAATATCCCTGGAAATTGGAGAAAATCTTTTCATTAGTGGGGGCATAGTATTTTCCTGTTTATGATGAATTCTTTTTCTTCACGTTGGTTCAGAAACCCTTTGCGGAACGCCGACTTGCGTACACTGTACCGTTTCTAATTGACTTTCATAAATATCGATTCGTATAGTTCGATTTCTAAATGTTTACAATGTATGTGAAATTGCTTTTGTGTTTTTTATTTACTTTATTATTATAAGGGAAGTTTTGGAAATTTTTATTCAGAAGAAATTAGCATTCTTCKTTAGCTCATTTGCTTGATCGATTCTTTAGTTTYCATTTTTTTCGTTTTTCAGTTTGCAATTCATTCGGTTGGTTTTGTATTTATACATTTGTTTGTTTTGCATTTAAAGTTGTTTACTATCAATCATGAATTCATTCATCCATTCTTTTTCTCTTTATTTCTCAGTTCAACTATTTTGTTTTTCTGAAAAATCTCTTGAAAATTGAAATCCGAATTTCATTTTTTTAATGGTGTTTCCARGTCTTGCTATTTTGGTTATTTTTTCTAGATTTCTCGCGTTATTTTTCTGTATATTCAACATCGAATTATCGAGACTGATCTTTCCATTTTCCTCGCAATAACTGGCTGAAAGACACCAGACATGCCAGATGATCTGGAGTTTGATGAAATATTTTATTTCATTCATTTTCATTAATTTACTTTCGCAGTTTTGCCATAAAATTCGGCATTTTTGTTGTTTTAAACTAGTTATACTTATCTTACACGTTAATGCATCAAAGCTTTCAAACCGCTTTTATCTCCGGCTTGATTAAAATGGCAAAAATCAGACATGCAGTCTCAAAAAACCGTGTCCAGCTTACCGCAAACTACACAAACATATCCACTCTTTAAAATGACACAAATAATAACAATACTGACTTTGATATTTTCAATTTTGAGTGGGTTTATTTCCAAAAATTTAATAAGCTAGTGCGTCGATTTTTCTTCTTGAATACTGAGTCGTTTTTTGTWTCTCAAATAAATTAATAGCGCAATACTTTATAATTACACGATATATTGTGTTGATGTCCTTCTGTGCTTTTAGTTGCTAAGGTTTTAGTGTATTCTGTGTAAGTTYTATGTCATTAATAAGTCAATTTGGCTTTTATAGAGGATTTCGCTGTTAGACTTAAGTCGAGGTGAGCCCGCGATGCATCCCATAGCAACCCTGCGGTGGTTCAAACAGGTGCARCATTTTGCAAAACTCCCAAACTACCAGAATCTTACTGTGAAAACATGACGTTTCTCCTTTGTTAACTCCTTCTATTTTTCCTCGGTTTGATTACTAATCTAGGGTGATACCTTTGTGTTAGAAAGTGTCATTTTTCTTATTATTTTTTCAGTCATTTTGAATGGAAATATTTACGTGAAGTAAGTCGCACTTAAGTGAATTGAAAAGGCGCGATGCACATTAATAATAGCTTTACATAATTCATTTGCAAGGCGAGAAAATTTATCTCATCATTCGCTGAAACAAAAATTAAAAAAAAAACTAATTCCGAGTGTATTTTCAGCATGATTTTTTGTCAGTACAAAAGCACTGTTTGTCCGTCTTTGTTTCGCTTCGTAAATGACTATCAAAAAACCCTATTTCTTTTTTTCGCAAGACTATTAAAGAGTTTACAGTACTGAAACAACGCGTTAATGTTTGAAACTATTTGATTTTTATTTGGATATATGTATATTTGTTGGATTTTTTTTTGTGATTATCTAATCGTTGCATATATTGCCACATAGCTGTATATTTTGCCTTAATGACAATTTCAAGCCCCATTTACCCCCGGCTAGTGGCCGGCCAGTAGTAACTCTGATGAGCGAAGCGCTCACCCCTGCTGTGAAAGCAGTTTCATTACAGTTCCAAAGCACTGCCATCGAAATGCTCACAGTCCACCGCCTGCAAAACGCCGCGTCATCGAAATAACTTCAGAAATAAGCCATGTAGGATATTCTAAAGCTACTTATAGGAAACTATACYCCAGTACAGCAAATTAAGCACAAGATATCATTACAGGATTATAGCAGGTAGATACAGAACAATTCTTTTTTTAATGGTATGAATGAAAGGCGCTCACTTAATGAGCGATTCTGTGACAAATGTTTTTATCTAACCCTCCTACCCGGCCACTAACAAGTCGGTGATAGTTATAGAGTAAACATAGATTAATTCAACATGCCAACCACGACATATTGSTGTATATTGACCGGCTTCTTGGGAATCGTGGTAGACCTTCAATTCGTAAGCTGTGCTTCTCAGGTCTGTTAACTTCTACGGCGAGAACTTTTTCGTGACAATCAACATATTCCTCTCGCTGCTGTAAACTGTTTAGCTGAGCAGGGGAGCAATGGCGGCAATTCCTTCACTCACGTCACATTGAACTCTWCATTGAATTCTACTGACTACAAACGTTTTTTCAAACTTTAAACTGTGAGGAACTTGTAGTTTTGCTAAGTGTTTCATCTTTGCGGAATCTGAGTTTAAAACACATCGCRACAAGGCAGGTGGGAACAGAAAGACGAGTGCTAATTCTATGCATAAAGAATCGTTTAAATCCGTGTGAAATACATCCACCGAAARGAGATTTTTCAAGAAAAAAAGTGTTTTCTGGCGTCTTATTCGCTGCCAGTTTCGTTACAARTATAGCGGTAGATGAATACGAGCGAATTATCTATGTTGAAAAACAGCTGGCTACAGGTCTTGCGGTTAAGAACATCTACAACAAAACACTTCCTTTTCAGTTCTGGTTTTGTTTTGAAAAAATAGCTGCGTTCTTGAAAAAGTTGTTTTTTAACCGTAATTCTTAGCGATTCTTCTCTAAACTTGCTTCTATTCCATAAAGGTGATGGTCTAAATCATGCATCAAGTGTAATGGCCTCGGTCAGCGCTAGGAAGCAGTTCTCATATTTCCTATCGGTAAGTATATTCCGCTATTTCGGCTCGCGTGTTTTTAGCTGGAGGCTTTAGCGCAATCGCATGCATTTCAAAAAAAGAGTTTTCATTCTTACTAGACAAAACGAAAATGATTATTTTTCATTCTGTTGTAGAGTTTGTTTGGATTGTGGATTCTAGCGTATCCCGTTAGCTCGTCGTCTTCAGTTACTATAGGTAAGTTGTTGCCTTCTCTTTYCTAACTGACTGGCACTTAGTATTGATATACAATCATGGCACCCGTTGGAAAGTTAAACTCTTCATCGTGAGACCTTTTCTTGCTATATATACAATCTAGCGGGACTTTAATTATAAAAAGGAAGTCTACAAAATTACTTAAACTGCTTTGGGAATGAATACGCCGGGAAAATCGAAATCGTAGTTTTCCGTTTATAACTGCCTTRGGCATTTTAGACGAACTAGAGCTGGAATCTTGGGAATCATTTTTAAAAATGMTTTTCTGATGTGATTTTAAAGTATATTTTGTCTAAAGCCTTTGTATTATTTCCGAGTTGTTTGTTGACATAAACAATTTTTCACAACACGAACATCTGTGGTCATAGGGGAGTGGGATTTTATCCTTTTTCCTGACTATTAAATTAAAGTTAATACCTGTGCACTATACCTATACCACAATTGCATCGATATCTACGATTAATTTACGAATTAAAGTGTTTCATGCATACCTAGGTCTTACTATACTGCTGAGAAACACTATGTTCGCCTATTACTAACTCTAAACTATCAAGAAATCTTGACTGTAATTGTCACTACAGCTCGCTATTGGCAAGATGGGTCGTTGTTTTTATTTCACTGAGAGTCGCCTCCGGTCTATTGCCTCATTTAAATTCTAAAAGTCGAGACTGTCTTGAAATAATTCCAACTTTAGCAAATAAAGTCTGCATATTGAAAAAATTTATCATCGTCGAGAATCGCTTTTCTCCTGGCCACAAGGAAGCCACCAAATGCTAATGTCACCCATTTCGGCAAAAAAAAGGTGTTTTGTGTCTCAATAATTCACATCTGTTTCTAATTTTTTGATTCGAATTATTCAACGTGTAGCTCTAAGGACTTGTCACCTTTCCTAGAGTTTCAATTTATTTTTTCTTTTTCTCGTCATTAATAAATTATCACATAAGACAGCGATCTTGTCGAGGAAATTACCACCAAACGCTGGGGTGATGCAGCTATGTGCGCGAGCGCTCAAATAAAAAAAAAATAAAAATTATCTGTACAAATTATGAATAATATACAAATGATGAATAACATAATCATATACTAAAGATAGAGAAAGGTTTATGAGAAGGAGTTAACATTGTCGAAAACACCCCAATTTTTAGTTCATTGTTTACAATCACTTAAGATCGGCTATCGGGTCTACCGCAAACATTGTCTGGATATAAMCCAGTGATTTTTGGGGTTAGAAGGGACTATAAATCAAGTCGTGCTTCCTTACAAGCCTTGGAAGATTCACAATGGTGTGGTATATCAACAAAACCCTTCAARACAATCGCTATATTGAACCTAACACTGTAGATATGGTTAAGAGGATGACTTTGTCAAGGATGTGGTAATTTACTGCACAAATCGATGAGCAAATCAGAATATCGATAGTTTAGATGTCTATTCGATAACGAAGAATTATAATTTTGAATAAGCACGGCTTATATGAGTGTATTATCGGGTAAATTTATGCTATTCTACAGTCTACCATGGATTGTTTTTTGACATTCCGGTCCGTTATTCAAGACGTGTGATGATAAATTACTCGTATAGAACTTGAATAATAAAGTGTTTCKCTGTCATTATTCTCTTAATTATCGATATATCGTAGTTCTTAATATACATTTGAATTAAGATGGTAGGAAAGGTCGCAAATGAAATACTGGGAAGGCTAGAAATGAAAAAAAGAAGCATGAATTTCAATGCTTAGGGCTCTTTTCGCCGCATTTTTCATATTTTCGTATTTTGCATACAACTTTCAATGCGGGACAACGGACAAAACAGCGAAATAACACCGTAAATTAGAAGGTCATAACACGAAAAGACCTATGGCTAGATTATTTACTGTGCAATCTTAGATTGTTGGCATTTRATTGAATACATATTCGCTAATAATGAATTCTTGACTGACTTGAAAGACGTCCTGGCTTTATAAAAAGTTGATTAAATCCATACTTCATTCAGCTCGGTCGAGCAATCTTAATTTGACTGAATTTCCCTGTGGATTTAAATACGCATGAAAAAGAAGTCAATCTTTTTTGAAGCATGAAATACTGCGGGAGAAGACTGAAGGCGGAAAATAAACCAAAAAAGAAATTACATTAAAATTAAGTAGAAAGGGAAAATGTCGATGAGAAAGTGTTCAATGTTTTTTTGAATAACTGCGTAAAATTCGTGAGAAGGCGTGAGAAGACTGAAGGAAAATATATCAAGAAAGAAAGAAAGAAAGAAAGAAAGAAAGAAAGAAAGAAAGAAAGAAAGGGAATAGGACGATGAGAAAGTGGAGGAAAGAGATGTATGTATGCGATTACGACAGTCGGGAAGGAAGAGAAAATCAAAATGACATGAAATACAATGAAGAAAAAGAAAATAAGGAAAGAGAAATGGAATTAGTCTCTAATTTGAATAAACACCTGGTAGTTTGTCCTGTGTAAAACGAATAGATGGTCGTTACTAGACCAACATGACCATAATATTCATAATGGCAGAGAACACCGCGTACGATAGTTAATTAACTTAGCAGACATCTGGATTGAAGAGAATCATCAAAAAACACATCAATTACTGAATGAAMTAGAATACAGTAATAAACAACAAAAATAGAAAAACAAGCAATTAACATTTGACCGGTAAAAGACAGAAGAAACTAAACAGAAGTGAAAGTGGAGAATAAAGTGAAAAAATGAATAAAAGTTAAACATTACGCATGTTAAGTCTTCGATGAAGCGCGCTCTTTTGATCAAGCAACAATGATCTTCTTTCTGTCTGGAGTATATTTGTAATTAAGCTTTAGATTATATTTCTAAATTAAGTGATGAGCAATAAATTATAAAGATGCTTTTTATGATAAACATTGTCAATTACGGTCTTCGATATATTTACAGATCACTAATTCATTACTGGCAATCACAGATCAGTATTAATCGTATATGTAACTTACATCGTAATGGTTGATCAAACGTTCTTTAAAGAAGGTATACATAGAACTAGGGAGCAATATATAAACAAAGTCGAGGACAATTGCAATCCCATAATGCAACGCTCGACGACAACCCTCGACGAGACGATTTTTTTCAACGATTTTTCATCGACATGTTTTCTCGATTGTTGATATTAATTGCTTTGCAAGGACATTTTTCGCTGAAAGCTTTCTCGATAACACTTCGAAGTCTTATTTTGAAACGATCTTTTCGAAGAATCGTTACTTGTAGCAACCTTTAAGAATTTAGAAAGTGTATTGCGGAAAATCCTCGCTAAATTCGTCGCATCAACGGCAAATTGAGGAGAATTTTGATATTCTTTGATATTTATTTACCCTGTATTTTCTTAGCTCCAAACAAGAAAGGTCGGYTAGACCACAAGGTTGTCTGTCAAGGAGAAGAACTCAAAATCCGCTGCTTCAACTCATCGTACGCGATCGTCATCGAGAGTGGAAACTACGGCAGGACATTAACAGGAGATGTCGTTTGTCGGTACGATGGACATGAGAGTGATTTCGATTTTTATTGTGGCGAAAACGATGTAAAAGACAAGTTAATCGACTTGTGTCAAAATAAAAAAAGATGCAGGTTTGTTGTTGGAAAATCGCTGTTTGGTGATCGCTGTCGTGGTCAGGCTTACCTGAACATAATCTATCGATGTGGTGAGTATAGAAAGTTATAATATGAATCGACATCTTTTTTTTAGATTACTAATAAAGTTATAAAAGTTTTTTTCTTACTTAGATAGTATTTTTGGGATTTGTTTTGTACATTTTAAGAGCCTATCATCAATCTCATGCATTCACTTATCAATTCATTCTCATTCRCTTTCATTCAGGTTTTCTCTTACAAATTATTTATCAATTTTATTCATCCATTTTTGTATTTCTTTCAGTCGAGAAAGAGAGAAAGAAAAATAGGAAGAAAACAAATCCTGCACTTCCCACTGCACTTCCCACTACTACTACAACAACACAAAATAGCACAAACATAACTATACTGAATACCACAGAAAGCYCAACACAAAATGTCTCGGGTTTAATAAACATTCTTCCAAAAACAMACGGAAAACCAGGCATTGTAATTTCACTGATAATGTGGATTGTTTATATAAAAGGTAAGTAACCCTCTTTGAACATCATGAAGTACAATTACAACCCAGTTCGACCCAGATCGTCGTAACTGAAAAGTCCACGCATAGAACACTCGTACAACGTTCGTACAACGCTCGAATAACAGTCGAACATCACACAGATAACGCTTGTATTCGTACAACGATCGAGCATCAATCGGGCTAGACTAGATGTAAAGCAGTTGACCCTTACAATCCGGGCAACACTCGTGCAAAGCTCGGATAATCCTCGGCTTACATTCGGAAAGCACTCGAGCAAATTCTGAGAAAAACAAATGATACCTCACCGAATGCCACTTGAATTATCCAATAATTTGTTTTAACGCATTCTTATTTATTCAATTTGYTATGTTTCTGTAGAGAGATGGTCGTCTTTCAGAACGATATTCTTTATCAGTACTGGTGCGTCGTTCGGTTTGTTCCTAGTCATCTGTATGATTTATTTACTCTTACGAAGACGAACAAGAAAGAGAAAACGACGACATTCTTGTAACAATAAAGAACTTCATCAACAGTTGAATCCAACTTCAACACTAGTGAACGGCGACGTTAAAAAAACTACAGAATTGGACTCTTTGTCGAATACTTTCCCTGCACCAATCTCCACACTACCTCCCCCACCGGATGATATGATTTACCCTAGTCCTAGTCCAGAAATGATGAACGCGACAAGACCTCCCCCACCCCCAGYACCCAGGGTCTCCTCATTGGACGATATTAGCAAATTTGATCAAGACAGGAATTCAAAGAATGTCCAAATAACGCGTTCRCTGAGCATGCGTACAAGACCGTCAGATTACTACTCTAAAGACTTGAACTATGAGAAGTAAGTTGTTGTTTTTACTAGTAGTTATGAAAACTATTCAGACAAAAGAAGAAACACTGTGAATAGACTTCATTTGTCCTCAGTTGTTGCATAGTTAATAGACTATTAACTATGGTTGTAGCTCCCCAATCCTGAGTGCTGCGCGGCCTACAAGTGAAAATAAAAGCGTTTCCTAATTTCCTAATATTTCTAATAATTAATGTCTTTATTTTGTTCACTAGATTCAATCCAAAGCTGCATACAATTCAATGCTGTACAGATATTAATGAAGTATTAGCTAACAAGGAATCAGCTATGTACATGAATCCTATGTATGAGAATGGACATATCAAAGAAGTGACCTGTTAGCCCAGGCTCCACGCGGTCACATCCACAAACAAGAAAGACAAAACAGAATGTCAMWACCGCTGTAAATATGGATGCATTGTGCTACTATGACGTAATGTATGTTGATCAGTGACGTCATCTGTCAAAGGCTTGTCAAGTGTRYCKTCATGTGAMCAAGGCTCGAAAACTAAAGAAATATCACGTCAACTATGCGGTCATAAACTCATTTGACGTCATTTGGATTATGGAGCTAAATCATGACGTCATAATAATGTATGTCATCAAAACCTGTGTGACGTCATCTGACAAAATGTGTTCATTAAAGGATTTTTTTCATCCATCCTGTGACGTCATAACAAGAAACATGTGAATATTTGTCGTACAGCTTTTATTTGACGTCAGCTATGATATCATATGAGAGATCATCAACGTACATGACGTCATCTGAAATGTATCAATTTAATGTTGGCCCAGTGAAACATTTCCTGTTGCTATGGGTGTACAAGGATATCATTCAACCAATCAACTAATACATCAATACTTCAAGTAATTCGTCGATCAATCAATCAAATGATTCATTCTACTTTATTGTGGGCTGGTGCAATCATCATTTACGCTGCTGGTAGCTGGTTTCTAAACTAACATCAATGAAAACTAAATAAATTGGAATAAAACGATTTCAAACGTAATAATAAATTATTCTTTTGGTTGAAATTGAGCAATGCGGGGAACAATTGAATACTGAAATWTGTTTTGATTTTATAAAATAATTTCTTGACTCTCAAGATTTTGTACTGTCTTATCGCTATCTGGGCGTAMTACTATATACTATATTTGGACAAGATGGTCATATTTGGATAGTGGTACCATATTTGGTGTGGATTCATATTTGGGTTAATAAAACCTCGTTTGGATAATGATGCCATATTTGGATGGTGACATCAATTGGGTGCCATAATTGGAATATAACACCATATTTGGTTAATGACGACATAATTGGATAGTGATGATCAATAACTTACATGCTTTTATTCACACTGTCATTTGACGTCACGTATACGTCACTCACATCATACATATATTGAAAATAATCCACATAATTTAASGAAAAAATGAAATCATAGAAAATAAATAGAATAGAAATCGTCATTGTCTAYTTTTAATACCAGCAAGGGAGGGAACCCAATAAAACAACAACGGTGATGTTGATATAGACAACGATGAACGCATAAAGCTCTAAAAAACGTATGCCACCGCGCAGGGATTCAAACCCAAGACCATAACATTGATAGAATATTAGGACAATTCCCCCGAGACATTCTGTGAAGCTGAGGCGTTGAATAAATGAGTTTTTGGCTCTTCCATTATTTGGTCCTAAATTCGATTACGCTATCTTCAGTATACAACGTTTTCTGAATTATCTGCATACCCTGCAAGGAACTCGAAGCATCACGTGACGATCAACCATTACGTTGCCTATGAATACACAACAGGCGTCGATTCTCAGGGGCCAAGAAACCTATTGTGATGGTTGATCATTCCTCCCGTGGGGCCTGACGCGGGGCGCCCTTTTTTCTGCCTAAAGTAAACATATCCGTCTGAAAGATTCGGAAAAGGAATTTTTATCCACGACATGGAGTTCTTAAAGCTTTAATTTAGCTGTAGTCAAAGACATCTTTCTGTACCTGTTGACTTATAGACTCATGATAAATTCTCGAACGTTTTCTTGGATAAAATGTTCAATGTRTTATTTAAACTGTAGTTTTACATCCACTATGTTAATTGCTACCTGATTATAGTTTTACAACAAAACCCAAAGATTGTTAAGTTCTTTTCCATTTCATACGGATTATCATTTGTATTTAATAATTATTTGATAATCAATATTAATCCATTTGTAAACTTTTATATCATAAAGAACGAAACGTTCGAGCGTAATGTTGGAGTTTCAGAGGCCTTGTTCCGTTGAATCCCGGAAAATCTTTGACAACAGCTAGTATCTGCCTGGTTGTAAACCACYTACGTTAAGAATTTCAAGAGATTTATGCCGTGGTGTTTATCCGTATTCTAGTAAAGTCTATCTGATACAAGACTGTACACCTTTTCCTGTGATGATTTGGAAAACAATAACGACAATTGAACAGCGGTGAAATCCGTCACATTCCATCGAGTACATCAGTATTCGGCCGCAAACCAGAACTCAGAACCCATCCCCACCCCCATCAAATAATAAATCAACCGAAGAATGATTATGCAAAACCTGTCTGTTTTGCGAATTCCTAAGCTGAGCTCTGATTGGCTCGCTGCTCCCTAAGGATTTTGGTGACGTCATATATTAGCATAGAACTTCACCGAATAGACTATCCCAATTCATATTAGATATCTTAAGTGTCTTCATAGTACGATGGTCTAAGAGGGTAGCTAAAGGTATGCTCTAGTGGGCGGCTACCCCCTCACTCCCTGGCCTTTTGGTTAAGACTAAGTTTTATGTTCACTCGGGATAGCGTGGAAGGGCCGAAATCTCTAACCGTAACGTAAGCCGATTCGCCGCCTCAGCTTCATAGAATGTCTCGGGGGAATCGTCCCATCTTTTTAGTTTTTTATTTTCATTATTTCTTATGTATGTCCGGGGGGGTACATCTTCTTCTGAAGTGAAAGTTCTGAGTTCGAGTCCTGCTGCTGGAATTTCTCTTTTTTTTGTTCAATATTATTTCTTTTTCGTTTGTTTCTTGTTTTCTTTTTTTGTTTTCTTTTTCTTTTCTTCGTTTTCTTTGCTGTTGTTTCTTCGTTTGCTTTTTTTTCTAGAGATTTTCTCTTCAACTTAAAAATATCAAGGACTCGCAAGGAACGCCTGCTGCAACTGGACGGTTATGGTTCGTCACTGAACCCGATGACATAGTGACAAGAGGCCCCATAAGGCCTTTCGTCACAAAAAACAAACCCCCCCTCGCCCTCGCCCTCCCCCCATTTCTAAGGCAGCCTACGGGCCTGTTACTAATTTTCAAGTTAAGTGGCAAAGAACTCAAGCTTGGGTTTCCTGTGTGTAACCCCTCGATGAAGCTTATGGTGAGCACGCTATGCMATCCTTCAGAAGGATACATCTTCGGAAGCCTTTCCGACGAATCGACTCCGAAGCCGACGCGACAGTTGCYGGTTTTGCCACATTTTCTCGTTCTTTTTTACTTGCTATCCAATATTTATCGTTTCCTGACATTAACCATTAATAAAAATGAAGTTCTTGCTTAACAATTGAACACTTTTATCATGTAAATCGAGCGACGAAAGCTTATTGCGAAAGTTGTCCTTTTCACGGATGGCCGATCTCCCCTTATCTAAGACGCCTTGCCATCCTTCAGAACGATACTTGAAACTCATTTGATCCTCATATTTTCAAGTCATTACATCTTGGMTATCCTTGCTGGCATAAAAGGTAAGTTATTTTCTGTTTAATTCACTGCAAATATCATTCTACAAAGTTTTCTAAGTAGAAATGAAATGAA